AAGTTACTACACTTAAACTGAATCTAAAAATATTTTCACCTGGGCGTTAGATTGAACTGTTGACATATGGAAAGGGATCCGCATGGTTGGCATAGTATATTGGCAGGAGAGTGTTAATTTCTTCGAATAAACTTGAATTCACAGCATTGAAGTGATCTGCTTTTGATGATTAGATTCAATTACCAAATAATGAACATATAAATGCCTATTCCCTTCGGCATCTGAAAGTTAAACTTGCATGTAATGGTAGTTATTATCTTTTTGACACTTCAATCGTAGTGTAACTGCAATTCATTCCACAGGTACTAATATCTGCCCGCAAAGAAATTTTGAAGGGTTGCAAAATTGTCTTCAGCCGTGTTTTCCCAACTAGTTCCATTGCTGAAAATCAACGAAGCTGTAAAATCAACTTGGAGCTACATGCTCAACGGAACTAGATCCACATGTGACGCATGTAGTTTCTATGGATGCGGGAACAGACAATTCTTGTTGGGCAGTGCAGGAGAAGAAATTTTTGGTTCATCCTAGATGGATTGAAGCTTCTAACTACTTGTGGAAAAAGCAGCCTGAAGAAAACTTCCCCGTTAGTCAAGCCAAGAATACGTTATCCATTCATGATCGAGAACTGACCATCCATAAGTTAAATTTTTTACTTACTGGCCCTGCTGCGTTCCCCACTGAATCGAGTTAACATCTGTTATACTTGACTCTCACTGCTCTCCTCAGATCCATCATCCATGTTTTTGATGGGTCGAGATTAAACCATGCAGATGTTGGGTTACCATGTCATGTCGTTTATACAACAAAGTGTATATAAAACGATGTTTAGGGATGTACTCTTCCTATGGGTGTAGGGAGTAGATTGTAGATAATTTTTGAGGTCGTAATGAATCGTTACTACCGAATTGGGGTGAAATTAGGAACATTTTTAGTGGACTGCTTGTTGGGCTTAGATAGTAGATAGGCCACATCCGAAGATTGTTATCGGGGTACTTACAAAAATAAGAATAATACATAAATAAGGTATTTAAGTATTACCATTTCAAAATTAAGGATAGAGGTTTTAAATTTCAAAAATCAGGTTTTTATTAAAATTTATTTATGATTTAATTAATTAATTATATACTTAATTAATTAAATATATTAAGGTCACGGATTTATACAATTTGGTCACAAATTAACCATTTAAT